CATGTACATAGGTATATATAACATGTGTAAATATGTTATATGGCGAGTAAGATGTTGGAGTGAGGGAGACTGGCTGGGTGTGGCTGCTCTCACTCGAGGTGTTCTGAATGTGTTGATGGTGAATGTATATAGTGTGTGACAGTGTATAGTGTGTAAATAGATTGTATATATACATAAATTAGCATGATACATAGTAAATATGTGCAGCATATGTGTACACAAGTGTCATGCACGTAACACAATGTCTTCGGACAGTACGGATGTCACCGTACTGTCCGAAGCCAATGTCACGGCTCCTTGTTCTGGTAGCCATTTTCTTTCTGCAGGTTGCTTCCCTGTCTGGCCACCAGGGCAGCGCTGCGGTTTGTTTACCTGTGCCTGGGTGTGCTAGCTCGTGTTTTGGGTGAGTTTTTCACCTCCTTCAGGATTTCTTTGCTTTTCTGGGGTGTTCTGCCCTTCTTCTGATCCTCAGGGAATGTTTGTTTTTACATTTTTTGTTGCATTTTCAGTCGTTTGGGTCTGGTCCTGCTTCAGCCCCCTAGGGGGTTCAGGAGGCTTTTAGTTGCCGCGTGTGACACCCGGTTCGGCCTTCTGGGGTTCCAGGGTCTTTCGGCCCGCAGGCTAATTTGCTTATGGTCGTTCAGGTTTTCCTGGGGGGGTGAGTTGGAGCACCTCAAGGTGTGCTAGTTCGCACCTGTCCTTCCTTATGATGACAGCCGTGACAGCTTCACATGCAGGTTCCCTTTCGGCATCCCTGGTGGCTGAGGATTTGTGCGCCTGTGGGCACTTGGCTTCGGTTCTTGCTCTTCTTTTCCCTGCTGGAGCTGTCTTCAGACTGTCTCGTGCTGGGTGTGGAGGAGCTAGGTTCCAGGCCAGGGTCCGGTGTGCTTGCTTCAGCAGCTCGGGTGATGGCTGCTTTGGTGAAGTTGTATGCACCGTTTCTGAGAGAGGCAGCATCTGTTCTTCGCTTCTCGCCTCGCGTGCTGACAGGCGGTGCTCGTCCAAAATTTTGGAATCGTCTTGGGCCCTGGCTCTTAGATTTTCATCACCTTTTTGTCTGATGCTGTTTGCAGAGTCTGCGGTTGTGCTTTTTCTGCAGGCGGCTTCGTCCTGTGACGGCCTTTGTCGGACTTGTAGGTTCTCTGGGGGGGGGCCATGGAGGTCCTGCCCGGAAGGGTCGTGCCAGGTCTCAGAGTTCCTTCGGTCGTCGTAAGCCAGTAGTGCCAGATTCGGTGCCAGCACCTCTTGTGGAGCCGTCAGTATTCTGGTCAGCGCAGTGATCGCTCTTAGCATTGGTGGGGCTCTCGTAGAAGTCGTTGGCTCTTTAGCAAGTGCCCCGTTGATGGGGCGATAGGGGGGGAGGCTCAAGCTGTTTGCTCTCACATGGTCCCACGATTCGTGGGCATTTCGGGTCATTTCCTCTGACCTGTGGTGGCATTGGGTTGCTCCTCCTCCTTCGGGGGGATCAGGGCTGGTAGGGCAGGCCTCTTCTCCTGTGCTCTGTAAGGTCATCCGGGGGTGGGTTTGCTTGGGTGTGGTTGAAACGACAACGTCCATCAGGTGGGTTCCACCTGTTTTCAGTTCCGAAACGGAACTGTGCAGATCTGTGATTCATACTGGACTTGTCTCATCTGAATCCCTGGGACTTTTGCCCCCTCCTTTCGGATGACCACTCTGTCTCAGGTCCGGCTGCTTTTGGCATCGGGTGCCTGGATGGTGTCTCGGGTTCTCCAGGACGTATTTTGGTTTTACAGTATAATTTTATTGTATGCATCCCGATTCATCCAGAGTACAGTGACTAGCTCGGTTTTGTCGTGGGGCAAACAAGCTTACTGCTTTCATTGCCTTCCATTCGGCTTGAATCTGGCACCTCGAGTGTTCACATGCCTTACTAGGTCGTGGTGACCTGTTTGCTTCTGTTAGGGGGTTCAGGTTCTGGCTTACTTCAACGACTGGCTGGTGTGGGCTCCCAGCCAGTTCGCGTGTCTGCTCGCCAGGGATATGGTTCTTTCCTTGCTTGCCGGGTTCGGGTTATCTGGAGGAAGTCCCTTTTGGTTTCCTCTCAGGTTCGGACTTGGTTGGGTCTGGTGTGGGACTCTCGGACTGCTTCCTTGTCTCTCCCTCCTGTGATGCTGTTGCAGCTGCGGTCCCGCCTCTGGCTGTTTTTGGAGGGCACCCAGGTCACACGTCAGTTGTTTGAGCGGCTGTACGGGAGCCTGAACTTCGCTGTGCTGATCTACCCATCGGGTCGGATCCGGCTTCAGCGGATGTTCTGGTTTCTTCAGGTTCATCCCTTCTGCTGCCCCTCACGATCAATGGGTTCAGATCCCAGGAGCCTTGCGTTGGCTGCTGCGTCGCTGGCTTCCTCTGTGGGTTTTTCGGGGTTCTGTGCTGTGGCGCCACCCCGAGCCCTTGCTCGATGTGTTCATGGATGCCTCGTCTCTTGGCTGGGGTTTTGTGACAAGTGCTCACCAGGCCGGCCAGGGTCGGTGGGGGTCCATCCTTCTGTCGAGCTCACAGCATGGCGAGAGAGTTTACGGTGGTGTGGCATTCGCTTCAGAGGATTTGGGTCGCTCGAGGAGCAACGATCCGGCTACATTTGGACTGCTCCTCGGTGGTTCAATGCCTGAACCGCAGGGGTTTGATGCGGTTCTTGATTCTTAGGGGCTGGTCCCTTCGGGGGACTTGTCTGCTGAGTTTTCGGAGTTTGGCTCTCCTGGTGGTTCATGATCAGTGGGGTCAAACATCATGGCAGATGGCCTGTCTTGATTCATTCCCCTTTCCACGGAATGAACGGTTGATGCCGACTCGTTCAGTTGGCTCTGCTGGATGTATGGGCGCCCAGCGGTAGACCTATTCGCATCGGCGTGGTCGAGGTGTCTTCCAGTTTATGTGGTGCCCTTCCCAGACTGCGAGGCCATCGGGGTCGATGCCTTTCGACTGGACTCGTCAAGGCGAAGTTACCTGTACCTCTTCCCTCCGGTCCGATTGTTGCTCTGGATCCTAGCTCAGTTGGAGATTTGCCAAGGGAGAGTAGTTCTGTTGGCTCCTTGGTAGCTGGGCCAGCCTTGGTTTCAGGTGCTTCTTGCTCGATGTCCGAACCCAAGAGTCTTCCTGCGGCTCTGCCTCTTTCAACAGATTGGTCCAGTCCATTACGTGGCTGGTTCGATCTTCTCCACTCTTCGTGTCTGGTCTCTTTGAGGCGGATGTATCACAACTTGTATGGTGATCAGGTGGCTTAGTTGAAGGTGTCCTACCTGTGAGTTTCGTCTAAACGGCAGTATGAAATTTCCTTGTGGTCCTTTCGGCAAATTTTTGTCTCTTTGTAGGTTGTGTCCGATTCTGATTGGGTTGTTTTGTCCTTTCTCTCTTAGTTGTTTCAGGACCGTCATCTTGTGCCAAATTCTGTCGCCTCGTTTCATGCGGCACTGGCGGAGCCGCTGCAGCTTGCTTTCAGGGTGGATGTCTTTTCTGCTCCGTTCCACAAGCGTTCTCTGACGTTGTTTCACCTCCACCTGCTCATGCGCCGCCTGAGCTGTCCTGATCGTTGGACCGGGTTCTCTCTTTTCTCTCTTCTCCTCGGTTTGTGGGGGCCCCTAGGTTCAGGATTGTTTTTCTAAGGCTCTTTTCTTGAGGGCTTTGACCGCTGGGGGTCGGGTCGGGGAGCTTCATGCTCTCCTCCGATGCAGGGGTTTCTGCTCTTTTGGTCCTGGTGGTTGTTTTGTTCGTTTGCAGCCTTCTCTTTCTTTTATGGTGAAGAATCAGTCTGCTGCTTTCCGAAGGGATCCTAGGGTTGTTGATGCTTGGTTGGTTCGGTCGGGGGTGCATCATGTTTTGTGTCCAGTTGCGGCTCTGCCGGTATCTGCGCGTCATGGTCTCCATGGCAGAGGACACACTTTGGGTGGACCTGGTTTCCTTTCTTCCTGGTTCCAAGGTGAGGTTCTCCCAGGTTGTCCACAGGATTTTTCGGTCCAGCCAGCCTGCGGTCTATCCCAGTGCCCATGATGTTTGTAAGTTCGCGGCTTTAGCTGCTATTTTTGGGAATATGTCCTGGGCTGACATTCGGGTACGGGGCTTATGGAGGTCGAACAGGTTCCTGGCTGCACTGTATTTTGTTTATGTTCCTGGGCCTTCTCGGGCATGTGTTGCCTTGGGTCACAGGTTGCAGCCATTTGTCTTGACTTTGAGTTGAGGAACGAGTGACGACCGCCTCCCGGATAAGTCCCTCTTTTTCTTTGTCTTTGGTTAGGTAGCTCCTGGGAGCCAAAAGGGCTCTCCACAGAAAACCAGCATTGAATGTAATGAAATGCCATTTTCTGGGTGAGACCCGGAGGCTCCCCAGCATCCCTCCCTCCCTTCCTCTGGTCGGCGGTTTTTCACGTTTTTTGATACTCAGCCTCTGAACTGAGGAGAGTTGCCGGCGTGGAGGTCTAGGATCCCCCCGTCCCCCTCCCTAGGAGGGTCGGGTTGCGCAGATAGATAAGCGGCGTTTGTGGTGACATCATACATGTTTCCTTGGTTTTGATTGGGGAGTTCTGTTGCTAGTTCGGCTTTTGGTTTGCAATTTATTTGATCAGCAGTAGTTTGTTTTGGAATTCCTACCTTTCTGGGTGCCTGACCTGGTAGATGGCAGACAAAGACTGCTTCCAATTACACGGGTGTGTCTTTAGGCTATTGCTCCTTGTGCCTCTCTTGAGGGGGCCAGGTTCTGACTCTGGTCCCCGGTAGGCTTAGAACTCCTTCGATTGACTGTTGCTACGGTCTAATATATACACATCAGCCCGGTACAGCTCCGGGGAGCCTCCAGGTCTCACCCAGAAAATGGCATTTCATTACATTCAACGCTGGGTTTTTCATGGATGGGAAAGATTGATCAAATCATTACATTATTACAACATTTCTAATTGCAATTGGAAGTGAAATGATTGGACCATGAGATGGCAAGTGTCTATGCAAGATATTGTTGGGAATGTTAACTAGGTAAGTGTCTCTGTACCTACCAAGCATGTCATAGTTTGCTGTTGCATTGATAAGATTCTGGTTGGCTTGGTTAATGAGCTCTTGAGACTCTTCCAGTTCGGTATTAATTTGGCCATCTAGACGACGTATTTCATCTAGTTTCTTCTTCAATGAATTGTACCTGAACAAAAATTAAATAGCTTTTAATTTAATTTATTACATTAAAATGGGGTTACCAGTACATAAATTATGAGATTCAATACATAATATATTCAGATTAACCCTTAAATGGCGCATGGCTATATACCATTTGACACCCACAGGTGCATACAAAAAAAAAAATAATAATAATTTTTCTTCCTACCCTGTTGATTTGTGTTCACTGATCATGGGAAAAATAATTAAAAAATCGTAAGTGGCATATATTGCCTGCTATAGGGTGGGGAAGTCTGGCAAAAAACAGGCGCTGACTTGTGTGCATCCCAGACGGTCTGTTGCTTACCAGCTGTCAGGCCAGAGTTGCCACAAAGAGATAATTACCAAATTATTTCAATGTCTCTGATTTTTCGTATTTTTTTTTGCTCTAATATTATTCAATAGTGTGTAGTGTGATATATTTATATAATAAAATTAGTGAATCATCGCTGTACTCAAAAATATGGTGTGCATATTGTTGATTCAATTATGTTCATCAAACAGTGAACATATACTTTGTCGGTTATTACACTATATACACAGGTGATATATAAGTATCTGCATGTTTTGTTCACCATAACGAACCACTAAGTTGCTATTATGAGTCAAAAAGTAACGAGGAGTGACCGCCGTGTACCAGCCAGCCAATCACGCCCTCCCTCAACACCTCACTCGCCCACATTCTCCTCCCACCAGACTGTTTTTGCTTTTATTCACTATATACAGACGTTATATATAAGTATCTACATTCGTGCTCATCATAACAAACCACTAAGTTGACATGCTGAGTGGCAGTGGCAGTGGCAGTGGCAGCCTGCAACTGGCTGCTACTTCCTCCCTCCCTCAAGTCACCTGACTTACCCACATTCTCCTCCCACAATACTGTTTTTACTTTTATTCACTATATACAGACGCTATATATAAGTATCTACATTCGTGTTCACCATAACGAACCACTAAGTTGGTATGCTGAGTGGCAGTGGCAGTGGCAGCCAGTGGCAGCCCGCTACTGGCTGCCACTTCCTCCCTCACCTCACCTCCCTCACCTGACTTGCCACCATTCTCCACCCAGCATACTGTTTTTGCTTTTATATACAGACGTCATATGTAAGTATTTACATGTTTTGTTCACCATAACTGTACATCTAAGCTTGTATGGTGAGTAAAGGCACAAAGACGTAGGACCTCACACAGTCAGCTGGCTGCTGCCTCTCAAGGCCAGACGCACTAATATTTCTCCTCCAACAATACTGTTTGTGGTGTTATTACGCTATATACACACATTATATATAAATATCTACCTGTTTTATTCACCATACTTGTACAAGTAAACTGGTATGGTGCCCAAAGACCATCGTGGCCACCAGTAAACAACATGATAAATTGTGCAGATGACGCCACCGCCCTCACCAAAATGGCAGCTCCCAACCTACTCCTCATGCTGTTTATATCCTCTATACACACGTTATATACAAGTATCTACATTTGTGTTCACCATAGCGAACCACTAAGCTGGTGTGGTGAGTGCAGTCAATAAAAGGTGGCCACACACACTCAAAAGACATCGCCACCATCCTCCCTCCCACAGCATTACACCTCCTTCCATGGCGCACAGCGCTAAATATCACCACAATCCTGCTATTATCAGAACCCTGGTCAGTTTTATCACAGTCAGGGGTCTTCTGTAATAATATCATCGCTACATAATAGCATGAACAAGTATAATTTGGCATTTTTAGGCGATGCTGTGGTCACAAGCTGAACAGCAGTGCTGTTTGCTCATGCTGCGTGCGTCAGGCTTGGTTGCTCACTCAATACTGAGGCCAATAACACCCGGGAGTTTGGCCCACGATTTTTTTTTTAAATGGCGTCTGTTTACAAGAGCCCTGATGAAGGTGTGGTGAACCCCGTGTATCCGTGGGCTGTTTAAATCTTGCGTAGTACTCCAACACATCATATGACGTGATGCGCAGTTTACTGGCACAACGTCCAGCACGTGATATGACGTGATGCGCACTTTAAGGGTTAAATACTTTAGCTTGAAAAATTAATGGTCAACACAGGGCATTTTTCTGACTTGGTTTCATGATGCATTTAGTAAGGAAGTTTACAAACAGTAAATCAAGAACCAAGGAATAAAGCAAAGAAATATTCAGGCTTTTTTATAGCTGGATATGAATTATGTTGGTTGTGGTACAAAAAATAGTGAATTTGTTCATTTTTTTACATTACTTGTAAGAAATTTGGAGTCAAGTATTTAGCTAACTTGAATAGGAGTGGGCCACATATGATTCAGATCTGAGAACATAGACACTATGTGTGTTTTGAAATAATATTTGAAGAGTGAGAGGAGAGCAAGTACAAATTTTGTCATGTACTGTAGATGATGTAACCCAAATGAAGTACATCATAAGACAAGTAATGATTTCGAGTACATGACTCCTCAAAATGAGCACTACTTTCAGTGTCAATAATATCGATTCAATTGTGGATTAAAATATATTCAACAGGAGCTTGTTGGAAGGAGACTTAAAAATAAACTAGAGTGCATCCTCACTCTAACAAGTTGTGGAAGCTGTTGTCAGGAAGAGGCAAGTGGTGTCATTAGAAGCTGTTGTCAGGGGGAGCAAATGGTGTCAGTGATGGAAGCTGTTGTTAGGGAAGGCAAGTGGTGTCAGTGGTGGAAACTGTTGTCAAGGGAGGCAGGTGGTGTCTGTGGTGGAAGCTGTTGTCAACGGAGGCAGGTGGTGTCAGTGGTGGAAGCAGTTGTCAAGGGAGGCAAGTAGTGTCAGTGGTGGAAGCTGTTGTCAGGGGAGGCAAGTGGTGTCTGTGGAGGAAGCTGTTGTCAAGGGAGGAAGGTGATGTCTGTGGTGGAAGCTGTTGTCAAGGGAGGCTGGTAGTGTCCATGGTGGAGGCTGTTGTCAAGAGAAGCAAGTGGTGTCAGTGGTGGATGCAATTGTCAAGGGAGGCAAGTGGTGGAAGCTGTTGTCAAGGGAGGCAGGTGGGTGTTGGTGGTGGTGAGACTTTCACTACAGTAATTGACAACACATGGCTGGCACCGGCTGCCACCACCTCAATGTTTCACTCACTGCTTTTTTCAATAAATTAGCTGAGAAAATGTTACCATTTTAGTTGTTTGTAACACCATTCTATTGTATTTCCATAGTCAAAATGAAGAATTCATAATAAATGAGTGTGTCAGTGATGAGGGGGATGTATTAGGTGGGTTAGGAAGACAGCTAGCCTCTAAGGGATTGTCGGGCATCTTGAGTGAGATGCCTCCAAGTCTGGCCAGAATGACTGGCCGACTGCTGCCCCATGTGGCTCCCTGCTGCTGCCTCAATACAGCTTGTACTAACTCAAGAAAATTTTACCATTTGAGTGGCTTGTAACATTGCTTTATTATATTCTGAAGTCAAAATGAAGAATTCAGAATAAATGGTGGAGTCAGTGGTGGGGGGTGGGGTCAGAGAAGTCTAGTGGTGTCAGTGGTGGGGGATGGTGTCAGAGAAGTCTGGTGGTGTCAGTGGTGGGGATGGTGTCAAGAGAAGTCTGATGGGAGGGGATGGTGTCATGAAAAGTCTGGTAGCAGGGGATGATGTCAAAAGAAGTCTAGTGGCAGGTATTATGGTGGAGGATGGTGTCAGAGAGTGACTGATGATGAAGAGCTGGCACATTATTATCAATACCTAAAGGGCATGAAAAATATTATAATGAAACAGCACACAACTAACAAACAAACTAAGATTCAAAAGTTTTTAGCATGGCTTCACAGTAGGCCTACAGAACCGGCAATAGCAAAGACTCACTTCGTAAGTCAGGTGCAATTTTTCCTAATGCAAATGTGTCCTGGCACATGTATTAAAAAAAATACAAAAATATTTTTTTTTAAGAGGGTTGTTGAGGCCGGACGGATGGAATACATTCTGCACTGGAACGAATCGGCTTTGCCCCATATAATTGGTTCAAGTGAGGACACACTGTAGTTCTTTACCTTGATTTACATATATATTTTTATATTAAACTTTCCTTCTTTTAATTTGAACCACCATCATTCATAAACACTAAACATAAATAAATAGCTTCATCAGTTTGCAATATGCCAAAAATATTTCAAACAAGAAATACAATTTACCCAAATAATTTATTGTTGCGGATCATTTGCTCTGCATCTCTTGTCTGGTGTATTGCTTTCTGAATATACTCTCTAATTTCTTTTATCTTGCCTTCAAAGCTCTTCATACGTTCTTCATAAGTGTCTATTATTTCCTGCTGGCCCTGAAAAAAGTAATTTATTTTTTATATTACTGTATTATATTATATTTTACATAAGAAAGAAATATCTGAAAATGTACAAAATTACTGTGCCTGTTAAGCATAACAGACTTTGATATATTGGCAAAGTAATACAGTTCTGTTTACAAGTATTAGGAATGACATATACATATACAGGGTATATACATAAATATGTATCAATACATACTGTGTATGTGTGTGTGTGTGTATCTATCTATCTATCTATATATATATATATATATATATATATATATATATATATATATATATATATATATATATATATATATATATATATATATATATATATATATATATATATATATATATATATATATATATATATATATATATATATATATATATATATATATATATATATATATATATATATATATATATATATATATATATCTATATATATATATATCTATATATATATATATCTATATATATATATATATATATATATATATATATATATATACACACACCTCGAGTGATGAGTGTCTCTATCTATGAGCATTTCGAATAACGAGCAAGCCACTCGCTGAAAATTTGTCTCGAATGACGAGCTTTCGCTCGATTAACGAGCGAAACCACATGGTGCTTCCTAGCATTCTCGCGGGTTCTCGCAAATTCTCGGACACCTCCGACGCCAGTGTAGTTGTTGTATCACGCAGGACAAGCATCCCTCTGCATTTATTTGTGCTTTTCTTTTTTTTTGTGGTTTTGTGACAACAATTTGTAACGCACGATGTTGCCAAAGAAGCTGCTTGCTAAAGACAGTGGTGGCAAGGAGAAGAGAGAGAGAGACAATTACTGTAGAAGTAAAGAAGGAAATCATAGCAAAGCACGAGCATAGTGTCCATGTGACTGATCTCGCCAGGGAGTATGGCAGGTCCTCCTCAACAATTTGCAGCATTTTGAAGAGGAAGGAACAATTTAAGATGCTTGAAGTGGGTAAAGGAGTTACCAAGGTTACCCAGAAACATCGAAAATGCCTAAAAGAGGTTGAAAAGCTACTGCTGGTCTGAATGAATGAAAGGCAATTATATGGTGATAGTGTCTCTGAAGCTATTGTTTGTGCTAAGGCAAAGAAGCTGTATATGGACCTTGTCAAGAAGACACCAGGTGCATCGTCTGAAGATGAGGAGATATTTAAAGCAAGTCGTGGATGTTTTGAGAAATTTAGGAAGAGAAGCAGTATACACAGTGTTGTGCGACATAGAGAGGCTGCCAGCTCTGATAAAGCTGCTGCCGAGAAATTTGTACCAGAGTTCCAGGAATTTGTTGCTAGACAGGAGTTCTTGCCCCAACAAGTTTTTAATTGTGACAAGACTGGCCTGTTTTGGAAGAAAATGACGAAGAGGACCTCCATCACGCAAGAGGAACAATCTTTGCCTGGCCACAAACCGATGAAGGATCGACTTACCCTCGTGCTCTATGCCAATGCAAGTGGCGATTGCAAGGTCAAGCCACTGCTTGTTTACCACTCAGAAAATCTACGAGTGTTCAAGGCGTGTAAAGTGCACAAGACACGACTGAATGTGATGTGGAGGTCCAATAACAAATATTGGGTCATGCGGATATTCTTCAGTGAATGGATCAATGATGTTTTTGGCCTTGAAGTGAGGAAATATCTTGAAGAGAAGCAGTTACCACTCAAGGCCTTGCTTGTGCTTGATAATGCTCCTGCACATCCTCCACAGATGCAAGATGATTTATTTTCCAAAAAACAGTTCATCACCATCAAGTTTCTTCCTCCCAACACCACTCCACTCCTCTAACCCATAGACCTAAAAGTCATTGAAAACTTTAAGAAGCTCTACTTGAAGGCCTTGTTGCAGAGGTGTGTTGATGTGATAGACAATACAGAGCTGACCTCAAAGAATTCTGGAAGAACCACTTTCATATCCTGGGTGCCTTACGTTTGATCGATAAGGCCTGGGAAGGAATGACACGTAGGACCCTAAATTCTGTATGGCGAAACCTGTAGCCTGAGGATGTCCCTGAGCGAGATTTCAAAGGTTTCGGTCCTGCACCTGCATCTGCACCTGTGGAAGACCCGGACGTGCATCTAGTGGATGATATTGTTGCTCTGGGGTACACTTTGGGTCTGGAGTTGGATGCTGCTGATGTGCAGGAGTTAGTGGAGGAGCACAGTGATAAACTGACCACTGAGGAACTCCTGGAACTTCAGAAGGAGCTGAGTCAAGAGGAGGTACAAGAGCTCTAATCATGGGAGGAGGAGGTAAGGGAGGATGTTGCCTCTTCCAGTGAGATCAGGGAAGTGTTAGGAATGTTTGAAAAGGTGACCGCATTCTTGGAAAAGCATCACCCTGATAAAGCAGTGACAACACGGTGTGTGAACATGTTTAATGACAATTGTTGTCTCGTTTTAGGGACATCCTAAAACGAAGACAAAAGCAATTGTCAATAGATACGTTCTTTGGAAAGGTAGAGAAAAGACGAGCAAGTGATAGTGAACCACAACCCGGTCCCAGTGGGGTGAAATTCCCAAGAAAAGAGAGCCCGTCTGACTCAGAGGTGGATTCTCCGTCCACACTCTAACCCCTCTCCTCCTTCCCACCTCCCCAACATTGGCAGTTTCGTCGCTGGCAGGGGCGCGAGGTACTATTCAGCTGTCTGATATACGCATAGTGACCGGTTCTGTTCACCTGGAGAAGTTGTGTTTCTGTGGGATTTTTCTTTTATTTTTGTTTTGTTTTGTCTGGCGGGGGTCTGCCAGGTGTGGCATTAGGACCATTTGTATGATTTTGGTGGCCCTCCACTAGGTACCCGTGCTTGTTCACGTCGCAGGAGTTCAGCTTTTAGTTTGTTTGCTTGGTAGCTCTGGGATAACCGGTTAGCAGTACCTCGCCTGGACTTCCCTTAGCAGTTAGTCTAAGGGCCCTGGAAACCCCCCTTGGGGGGCTCAGTGGTCCGATGAAAGAGACCCAGAGTCCCACCGTGCCTTGTGCAAGTTTAAAAGTTGCTCTGTCTCTTTGACTCGGTGACACTCACCGTCTTTGTCTCCGCCATGCTGCTTGTCGGTCAATGACACCTTTGACCCAGAGTCCTGCAAGTGGTGTTCTTTGTTTGTCCTCCAATTCACCCTGTCCACTGAGATTGTTATTAGGGTGCAAGCAGCTTCAGCGCTGCATGCAAAGTTTAGGTTGCTGCAACGCGCAAGGTTAGTTGCCTTTCCGGATACCCCGCAGCTGCTCCGCTTTAGTTATAGGGACCCGGACTTGGGGGTGTTAGTCTCCTCGACTTTGGTTACATCTGCTCTCCCTAGTCCTTCCCCTGCTGTGTTTCATCCTGCTCCCCACTCCCTTACTTCCGGCTCCTAAACGTCTGAGGGTTTCAGAGTCGGGGCAGGGTTTGCCTGGTGGTGAGTTTTGGGGGGCTTCGGGGAATGCCCCTTCCGGATCGGCGGCAGAGGCATTCGAGCTTGTTCCTCCCACTGGAGCCCTTGGGCCGTGCCAGCGGCCCCCTTCAACCTGGCTTTTCCGGCGGATTCTGCCTTTTCTCCAGAGGCAGAGGGTTTGGAGGACAGCTCAGCCCCGGGTCATGATGTCGAGGTTCCCGGGGCTGGGGAGGAGTTGACTTGGGGTGCTTGGGCCCCGTTTGACCCCACTTGGGTTTCGGTATCCTTGGTGCAGGTCTTGTTGTTACAGGGGGAGGGGTTTTCCAAGCCCCCCTCCCTGTACGAGTTTGATATGGGTGTGACTTCTCCCCGGGTTCGGTTCCCGGTTCCCTTGGGTTCCTCGGTTCCCTCCTTCCAGAGGTTTTTGGCTTCCCGCATCACATCAAAGGTGGCGCAGGAAGCCCTTGCAACTTACCTCTTGCGAGACCCGGATTATGCCTCGATAATGGATTCTTCGTCTTTCGAGTTTGGCTCCTCGTTTTCCTTCTGGATGCGTTACGAGGTGCCGGAGTCTTCCTGGTTGGTGGACTGCCCTTTCTTTCACTTCTTCACTTCACTTCAGCAGAAGATGTCACTTCTGCTCCATTCCGTAAGCTTTCTCGGGCGTTTTTTCACCTCTGGCCTGCTCATGCACCGCCTGAGCCGTCCTGGTCGTTGGACCGGGTGCTCTCTTTTTCTCTCTTTTCCTCGGTTTGTGGTGGCCCCCTTAGTTCAGGACTGTTTTTCTAAGGCTCTTTTCTTGTTGGCATTGGCCTCTGGGGGTCGGGTCGGGAAGCTTCATGCTTTCCTCCGGCAAAGGGGTTTCTGCTCTTTCGGTAATGGTGGTCGTTTCGTTCGTTTGCAGCCTTCTCCTTTTCTGGCAAAGAATGAGTCTGCTGCTTTCCGAACGGGTCCTTGGGTTGTTGATGCTTGGTTGGTTCGGCCAGGGGTGCATCATGTTTAGTGTCCAATTGCAACTCTTCGCCTTTATCTGCACATCATGTCCACCGTGGCAGGGGACGCACTTTGGGTGGACCCGGTTTTCCTTCTTCCCTGTTCCAGGGTGCAGGTCTCCCAAGTCGTCCGCAGGATTATTCGGTCTATCCAGCCTGCGGTCTATCCCAGTGCCCATGGCGTTCGTAAGTTCGCAGCTTTGGCTGCTGTTTTTGGGAATATTTCCTGGGCTGACATTCGGGCATGGGGCTTTTGGAGATCGAACAGGGCCCTGGCCACACGGTATCTTGTTAATGTTCCTGGCCCTTCTCGGGCATGTGTAGCCTTGGGTCGCAGGTTGCAGCCAGTTGTCTCGACTTCAAGTTGAGGAGCGAGTGATGACCTCCTCCCGGGTAAGTCCCTCTTTTCTTTTTCTTTGGTTAGGTAGCTCCGGGGAGTCGAAGGGGCTCTCCGCAGAAAACCAGCTTTGAATGTAATGAAACGCCATTTTCTGGGTAAGTCCTGGAGGCTCCCCGGCATCCCTCTCTGCCTCCGATCGGCATTTTTTTAATGTTTTTGATACTCAGCCTCTGAACTGGGGATAGTTGCCAGTGCGGAGGTCTGGGACCCCCTCCAT